TGGCCAGCCTGGGTGAGGGGTTGAGGGGCATTTTCAGACTGGCCACACCCCTTGGGGGTCCCTGCTGGGATACCTGGCCAACCTGGGTGAGAGGCTGATGGCTATTTGCAGGCTGGCCAAGCCCCCCAGCAGGGACCCTCTCCCCATGAGGGTGTGGCCAGCCTGAGTGAGGGGCTGGTGGCTATTTGCAGGTTGGCCACCGCCCCTTGTTTTATATAGTCGCTCTGATGGGCTTGTGGGTGTGGCTTGTGGGCGTGGCTTGTGAGTGTAGCAGAGGTATGGTCAATTTGCATGTTTCTCTTTTATTAGATAAGATCTACTGTTGGTTCTGTTTCTCTGGAGAGCACTGATTAATTTATAGGCCCACAGCTTGGAGCCTTCCTGGGCCTTCTGCCACTCCCTCCGTCCCTCTCTCCCTCCCTCCACATCTCACACAGATGCCCTTTCACCTTGGCCTCCACACTGGCTTATCCTGGAGGTCCTTCAGGCCTGCCCAGTCTCTCCAGGCCTTGGAACCGCCCTGGGCCCCTGCAGCAGCCACCTCACTGGCTCCCCACAGCCACTCCCCTCCACACGGAGCTTTAAAATACAGACAAGGTTGCATCAGCCTCCATCTTAGAACTCTGTAAAGGTTTCCTTTTGCCTTTGGCCTAGAAGGATGCCCCTATTTTCCTGCCCATTCTCCTTTCCCTCCCCTTCCCTTCCTGGTCTCCCAGTTATAACCAAGCTCTCTCTGGCCCCTCTGGGAATTTGCATAGACTGTTCTCTCTCTAAAAGTGGCCCATGCTAAAAATAAAATAAAATAACAGTGGACTTGAACTTGAGTCCCATGAACTATATGATCTGCAGCAATTAATTCAACCTCTTCTAACCGTGATTGCTCATGTAGCAAGTGAGGGTAAGAGCATCTTTCAACCAGTCTTATTGGGAGATGAGGTGAGCCTGAGATATGCTTCATTCCTCACCATTCTCCTCACCCATAACTCATGATATGTTATTTGGTCTTATACACATTCACCGAATGTTTACAGAAGAGTGGAATGGTTTTTTGCTAAGCTTCTTTCCAGCTGAAGCATATATACGATAGTCAAAGAATGTAGGCACTCCTGTGCCTGAGCAGGCAGAGAAAGCCTATTTCAGAAAACACCCAACGTGTCAGCTCTCAGCCCAGCAATAGTCTGTCTGGGCGATTTGGGTCAAGCCCCCCTTTCTGGAGGTTAGCAGTCATTCAAGTCCCTCCTGTGGGTGGCTTCGAGGCACCCTCTACCCTGTGATGCAGAAAGCCCGGGCACCCCAAGGGCCAGACAGACAAGAGCAGGGTGGTGAGAGTGCTGGTCTGGGAGGTCAAGCATTAGCCACTCCTAGTCTGGGAGGCCAATACCAGCCACTCCTGGTTGCTAGGAACCTGAATAACTACTGACATGAAAAGCTTTCCCACAAGAAAGGAATGTGAGTCACCTGCAGGAAGTCACAGGAGCAGAGCTGTCAGGCACATGAGCCTTGGAGAGCTGGGGTCTTTTATGCCCAGCCAGCCTGTGGCTCGGTTCTCGCCGCCCAGCCAGTGGTTCTCTGGCATGTGTGCTAGGTCGACTGTCTGATCTCCTCCGTCTCCTGAGCTGCCCCTCACGCTGACACAGACCCCATGTTTCCCACCAGGGAGCACTTTGAGGTGACAGGAGTGTGCACCAGTGGGGACATGGGTGGTGCCTGCTCAGTTCCTCTACCCAGCTGGTGTTTCTGCTCAGGGCCTCTCAGCCCCTGCCCCACCCTCGCTGTTCCTACCACCAGACACAAGACCTCTCCATGTTCATTTTTTATTTAAAGACTCAGAAACACAACATCATAGTTTGTCATCACTGTAAAGTCACACACTGACATTTGTGTTTAACAAAAACATTAGGGTGTGTGTGTAAATTGTGCAAAGTACAAATAATTCCCAGCTGGGCCACTGAGCTTATTTGGGGCACTAGAATCAGGGGGCTCTTGTCCAGCTCTGTCTCACCACATCCCTCCCATGGTCCTCTGGTGGCTCCATATCCCCAACATCTCGGTGACCTCCCTCAGTGGTGGCCATGGACTCCACTGTGCTCCTCAAAGCAAGTCACCTTGGCTGCCAAATGCCACTGTGCACCCAACTTGAGTAAGTCCCTGGGCCAGGAGGGAATGTGAGGGTTTCAGACAAGGTGTTGTTTCACCTTAGAAAACAAAAGGAGTGTTTCCTTTGAGGAAAGATGGCCTGAAAGAAGCGTCTAAGCCTGCTCCCACCCTTGTCTGCGGGTTAAATGGTCATGAAGGCTGATGGGTCTGACTGAACATGTTCGGAAACACTCAGCCTAAAGCATGAGGCCTGTTGTGCACTTGCCTGCCCTCTGAGTGCCCGGCATTTGCCCTGAGAGCCCCTCCTGAGAGGGTTCCTGGCTGGGGGGCATCACTTCTCAAGTCAGTCCCAATGGCCACCCCTGAGTCTGCCTCGAGCTGGGCCAGCTGATGCCTTGCAAACACGCTGCTGTGAGGGGTGCTGGCCCCGTGGCTGCTGCTTCCCCCACAGTCACTGAGCTGCTCAGCACTTCTATCAACCAGAGCACCATGTGGGTGGTGGCAGGAAAGGAAAGAAGGTCCAAGTTAGTCTATTCTGGTGCTGTCGGGTTTTTTTTTTTGCTCTTCTTATTCTGTGGGAATTGGAGTTAGTTCTGGTCTCAGTGGAGAATACCTGTCTCAGCCAGCATGTTTTTGGCAATGACATGATTTGAAACATGCACATGATTGATGTGCAAGGTAGGCAGCTAAGTTGGCAACTGATGGTCGCCATTAACTTGAGCCCAGGGCTCCCTATATTTAAACTTCATTTATTTTCTTGATTTAGAAGAACTTTCTCAAGCCTATTAAATATATTACCAGCAAGGAAATGAGCCTTGCTATAGGAACAATGCCACCAGCCTGGTAGCCACCTGGCAGTAACAAATATCCCAGTCACATCCCCAAATAGGAACTCTGAAAATAAGTGTTTGTATTTCAGAGACATCACCCCAGGCGAGGGAATGGGTTTCTGGATTTCGTTGCATCCCTAAAAATCAGGGAGAGTGTTACCAAAGGCTCATTATTCAGCCTAATTTAAACCTGAGTGATCTGTAAAAATGTATAGAGAGAGTTTACAAGTTGTGACTCTGAACAGATAAGAATGTATTCCTAAGGTGTAAGTCTCTTAAAAACAAGACCGTCTTGTGACAGGGCTCCAGGAGGCAGCATCTGTGGAGATGAGCTGTGTCCTGGACCCCACCTGTGGGGGCCCAGGGTCGGAGCTGCCCTTCCATCTCTCCCCCCGCCCCTCCCAGCTTCCAGCCCCCCATTTGCAGAGGACTCACTCCTGCTACCCCATGTACCTCCAGTCTCTACACCCAGGTTCACACTGCCCAACAAGGGAGCAATTATATACTGTAAAAAGGCAAGACCTTCACCAGGTATTGTAAATTGTGGTACTGGGGTAAAAGCTTCACATTTCAATAGTGATAAATCATATTTTGATAATCGAATTGTTGTCACTCTTGCTAAAGCAGTAAGAGGGAAATTCCGCTTTTTCAGGGTGGGCCCACCTTCATGCCCCTCTCACTGCCACACAAAAGGCGATGATAGCCACTTTCCCTGAAGTTGCATGTTCTTGAGTAACAATTACACTGTCTAGACAGAGCATGGGGCTTTGGTAAAGGTTGAAAGAAATTGGCTTTTTCCAAAGTACCTTGAATCCCCTAAATGGATTCCCTCTTATCCCGTGGTACAGGGCATTGTAGTGTTGAGAATGTGGGCTTTCTGGATTTCTCCAAAGTTGATATAGTAAATATAAAAATTCTGCCCATTTGATGTTTCCTTGGACATTTTTTTCTTTCAAACTCAACCAAGTCATTACAAAAAGGCAGCACCAGATGTTTGAAAAATAGGCAATGTATGACCGATTAGAAATATATAAAGTCTAATAGCTTTACATTAAAAAGATGTGAGAAATAAGCAATGCAAAGGGACAGTGGCCAACAGAAGTGTTGTTCCCAATGCTGATGGGGGACCAGCCATGGGAGCTGTGGGAGTCCCACAGGCTGCACAGCCAGGCTTTCCCAGGGGCTGGGCAGGTGGCAGGCGACTGAGGTATAGAGAGGCAATGAAGCAATTTGGACCCCACCTGCAGCCTAGACAGCCCATGAAGACATTCTGTGCCCCGTAGCCCTGCACAGTGAGCCACCTGGGGGAGCCACCTCGAGGAGCCACCTGGGGGAGACATTTTGGGGAGCCACCTTGGGGAGCACCCAGGCAGCATCTTCCTCCTCCTAACTCACTTCTCTACAGTTCACACGGGGTGGCAGGCATCTCATCCAAGAACAACCCCAAGATGTGCTCTCGGTTGGGGGTTGTGGGTGAAGGCACGATCCCCACACCCTGCAGGGGCCTTGGAAGGGACCTGAGGCCTGGGGGAGTGGTGGCCCGCTCCTGGCGCTTGGGCTTCCCGGAAAGCCTTCTCCCCGGTGAGTGGCGTGTGGAGAGTTTGTCCTCAGAAGCTCTCGACGAAGCTGCCGGGGAAGAGGCCCGTGCGGCCGTTCCTCTGCAGGGTGCCCTTGTACCAGCCGTCCTCACGCTTCTTGTGCACAAAGACAATGTCTCCCTCCTTCAGCTCTATCTCGGCCTCGCTCTGGGGCGGGTACGAGACCACGACACGGTACCTGAAGGGGGGACAGACACCACAGTGGGTGAGCCTGACCCAGAAGGCTGAGAATGATCCAGGGTGGCCCGCTGTCTGCTGGCAAGATCGCTCTTTTCTTTACCTTTTCCCCTCTGGAACATTGTCGTAATTTGGGGCTACTTTTCCCACTTAAGTTTTTTTTTTCATTTTTATTAAAAATTTGATAGTAGCCTTTCCCTGTGATGCCTTTTAGACCCTGATCCAGGCAGCTGGGATGTTTCCACCCACATGTGGCCTCTCCGAGCCACGTCCTCCCTCAGGCCACCTCAAACCTCGGCCTCCCGGTGGCCGGGGCAAGACAGGCGGCTGTGTCCCCATTGTGGCACAGGACCCTGACCCTGTGCCCTCAGCACCTCTGAGATCCTTTCATAAACAAGGCCTGGTGTTTTGCACCTCATTCCTGCAAACCTGGCCCTCCCTGTGACCTTTGAACTCTTCACCCTTCATTTTCAGACCAATGTGACATATGATCCTAGTGGTGACATGACCTGTGGGCAGGGCACTTGGAGGGGTGCTGTGGCCTGAGCTCCAACCAGACCAAGCACAGACCTCTGAGGGCCCAAGAGGCTCAGCAGGTGCCTGGTCGGGTGCACACCGGGTGCTATCCCTGAGAGCTGCCCCAACAGCTCCCAGATCTGAGACAGTGGTCTGCTCCTCCCCGGCATCTTGCCAAGAGCCCTAGTGTCAGCACAGGGCTGGTCTGGCGTACATCCCACACTCACACCTGTCCGCAAGGCCTCAGAGGAGGAGGAGGAAGGCTGAAAAGAAGCTGTGCTCGATCTGAGGACCAGCCTTCTTCTAAAACACCATCAAGGACAAGCTAGCAGGCGCCCTTGTGCCCGTACCCCTCACTGTCCCAGCCTGACAGGAATTGCCCTGCCCCCACCACTCCAGCCACCCATACCTTCCCCGCCCCTCAGGGAACTCACAGGGGCATGTGTGCTGACATCAGACTGGACCTTCACCCTCTGTCTGTCCAGCTGGACCCGGAGCAGGGCTCCAGGACAGAATCCAAGTACTAACTGTGCACGGGTTTGGTGCAGGCAAGGTGTAGCCACTCTCACTCCCTAAAAGCCCCTAGCTGAAGGTTGCAACAGGCTTGGGTAGGCTGAGGCGCTGGGGAGTACTCGGCCTGGCCAGGCCAAGATGCTCAGTAATTGTTCCTCCACTGACCAGGAGGGCTGAGCCTGGGCCACCTGGAAGGGCACGCATCCAGTCACCCTCGGTCACATTCTCCCCGTGACCTCGCCACGGGTCCCTCTGCTAAGAGACTCGGAGAGAGTTGCAGGCCCACAATGGGACTGACGGTTGAAGGGTGCGGCTGCCGGGGGAGTGGAAGGGCAGAAGTGGAGGAGGGCCAGCTGGGGGCCAGGAGCCTCTGCTGTTGGCGAGGGAGAGGCTGGGCAGTGGGCAGTGGGGTCAGTGGGACCTGCAGCTCCATCCACATCAGCCTCCCAGCAAACAGCTGCTACCCGTTCAGCTCATAGTCGCAGCTGACCAGGCCCCGATGATGCCTCTGCTGTGGGCATAAAAGACGACAGGAGTGGAAGTGTGTGCGGGGCTGGGTGGGGAGAGCAGGTCTGTGCTGTGGCTCCTGTGCAGGGGACCCAGGGCCCTCTCCCTGCACCCTGCACTCCCTGAGTGTCATGATGACATGCATCCCACTGCTATTCCCCCTCTCCCCTTCCCACCAAACTGTGTCTGGGCCTCCTGTCTTCCCTTCTCCTGCCAAAGGCTGCAGAGACCCCTCGATGCTGAGTAAGAAACTGCTTCCTGTATGGGGTGCACAGGCCTGTGGGGACTTAGCCCAGGATTGATGGACACAGTGAAGAATCCTGGCGATCAGCACAGTGGTGGTGGCCTAGAGGCCCAGGGCCTGACCTGGAGAGAGGGGCCTCTGAGGAGACACTATCCTGTATCCCCGTCTCCCTGCAGTGTCCGGGCCATGGTCTAGGCACACTGGCTGGGTGGGGGAAGGTGGGAGACTTTTTTTACCCTTGTCTTCCTTAGGCCATCAGCCAGCAGTAAAGGCCTGCCCTCCGCCCCGACCCTGCCTTCTCCCTTCAGCCACAGCCACACAAATGGCAGCAGGCTGTCCTGAGGGCTCATAGTTCTGTACGGAGCCTTTCCCTGGTACATTCTGGTCTTTATGAAACCAGGACATTCATTATAGAACAAAAGATCCCAAGTCTGCATTTCTCAGAGTGGCTCACAGACTTTAGGACCTGGGCCCAGATTTCTGCGTCCATCCTGTCCCTGCCTGCTGAGATGCCGGGGATGGGGCAGGGAATGTAGATTTTAAATAAATTCTACATACTGATGTCTCAGAGTCAAGGTGCTGAGTAAGAAAACATTGAGGGGACTTCATCTTCCCTCAGCCCCACTGGCTCACAGGCCTGGGTACTGGCCCATCTGGGCGGAGCAGACAAGCCTTGTCCAGGGCAGTGGCTGGGCTTGGGATGACGACCCAGGCTCAGCCTCGGTGCCCACAGCCCCTGGACACACAGACTGTCTGTTCCAGGCGGGCAAACTAGGGCGGAGAGGAAGGAGGCTTCCGCGGTTTATGTGACAGGCATGCATGCTCCTGCGCCTCAGGGGCGGGCTAGGTAGGCTGAGTGCCTCAGAGTGGCTGCAGGTACAGGCGGCTGGGCAAGCTTCCACTGCCATCCCTGGGAGCCAAAAGCTGGCTTTGGGGATATGGAGGAGGAGAGAAAGGAGCATATAAGTTCCACCCTCCTCCCAGCCCAGTGATGCAACAGCTGCCTGCAGGCCATGCCCTGAGGAGGACAGATGACCTGTGAGGTCAGGCAGTACTGCACACACCACACTGTCCCCAGGCCCCAGCACTCAGGCTGTGTGTGCGAACACCAAGATCAGCCTGGGTTGTCCCTGTGGCTTTCTGCCACCCTCACCTCCTTTCCAAACACCTGCCTCCTCTCAATTCCTCAAGGAAAAGAAAGGCAAGAGTGAGTTGATTTCTCAAACTCTGAACAAAAATTTGTTTTTGCCAGATGTGAAACAAACAAGCAAATTTTAAAATGTTATTTGTTAGGGGAAAAAAAGTACTTTTGTGCTTCTGAGCAATAAAATAGTTTAATGAGCCTAGATGGGTGATGTGGGCGGAATATATCCGAGACAGGCATTTAACATTTCTGTCCAGATCATTCCAAGACTCTGAGCTATTCTTCCTGCTGCACAGATGTAACTGGCACTTCCTGTTACAGGCACCAAACGCCCGGGCACACTGGAGGATGGCAGCTCCTCCCGGTCAGGACCACACGTTTTACATCAGTGAGAACTCTGCTGAGATGAGGTTATGTCGCCCACAGTTAGTTTTCAGACATAAGACTCAGGGAATAAAAAAGCTCAAAATCAGAATGAGTTCTTACCACTGCATGTTGCAGTTAGCCTTGTGTGTGAGGTTTGAAGTGTCCTCTTCCTGTGTCATCTCCCCCCCAACAGCAGGGGCCACAAGGGGCCTTGCCTGGCAGGCTTTCTGCAGCACTGGCTTCAGCACTGTGGGGGACACGTGGTCCCCGAGTTACTGGAGAGTGGTCATCACAGAGCAGTGTCCTACCAGGAACTTGGAAATGTTAAGGACAAATCTATACCCTGGATACCACACTCTAATATCAACATGTGTTTCAGTTGCCTATTGCTGCTATATCACATTTCTTCAAACTTAATGGCATAATGAAACACGAATTTCTTATCTCATGATTCGTTAAGTCATCCCACAGTCTCACAGGAATAGAGTCAAGGTCTCAGCAGGCCGGCTCCTCTGGAGGCTCCAGGGGAGACTGTGCCCCGGCCTTTTCCAGCTCCTCAGAGCTGCCCGCATTCCTGGGCCGGGAGGCCCTTCCTCCATCTTCAAGGACAGCAAGGGCGAGGGAGTCCTTCTCCCGTCAGATCCCTTTGACCTCGTCTTTTGCCTCCCTCTTCCACTAATAAGGACTCCGGTGGTCACACTAGGCTCACTTGGATAACATGGAATAATCTCCATAGTTAGCTATCTTTATTCCCTCTGCAACGTTAAAGTCTTCTTTGCCATGTGGGGATCATATAGTCATGACTTGGGGAATTAGGGCACAGACATCTTTGGGAGTCATTATCCTACCTACCATGCCACACAATACATCAAAGTCAAAAACTTGGACATCCTAATGAAGCCACACAACGTACAGGCCAGCAAGAGTGAGGATGGACAGACTACATGTGTGCACATATGGAAAAAGAGATGGTGGCAATAAAAAATGGATTAATATATATGTTATATGATATAATAGTATTATATATCATTTCATATATTATTATTATTGCTATTGTTTATGCATTCATAATTTTCCAGGTATTAATCTAGGTTTTCACGAATATTATAACTACCAGATAGGTATTATTATCCCCATTTTATATATGGGGAACTGCAACTCAAAATAAAAACAAGCAGAAACCCTTATTTGGAGTGAAATGGTGAGTGTGCCTATTGCTCGAAGCCACTCTGCAATATTGCCAAGGAGAGCCAGAGGCAAGCATGCGGAGGGGAAGGGTGCTGGGGTGGCTGCCCACAGGGAGATAGGACATTAGTTATGGAACTATATGTGTGATCGTGAGGAAGTTACTCAGCCTTTTACTAAACCTCAGTTTTCTCATCTATAAAATGGGGTTACTGAGGGGATGAACTGAGGTGCTGGCAGATGTTAAGCTGCATGTACACATGGCTGCCCTGGATGTGTATGGCTGGGATCCATATCAATTGGTAAAGGTTCTGAATATCACCCCTGCACAGAGTGTTCTGCAAATCCTAGTTATTCTAAAAGCAGGTGTAAAGACAGACTTATACTTTTGCTGTTTAGCAGATCATCAGTTGCTGGCCCATGTTGTCCCTCCACCACCTTGGAGAGCAATTTGTTCTCAGTGGCTCAGGATCTCAATGCCCCCCCAATGGCTCGGCTCTAAATCCTTCATCAAAACCGTGGATTGACAAATTGTGGCCTGCACCTAACTTGTGTGGTCTGACAGCTAAGAATGTTACATTTTGAAGTAGTTGAAAAGAAAAATCAAAAGAAGAATTATATTTCATGACACAGAAAAATCGCATGAACTTTAAATTTAGTGTCCATAGGAGGGTCTACTAGAACACCCACCCCAATGTTTCCATATGTATATGGTGCCTTTATGCCCTCGTGGAGAGGCGAGCATTGCAACAGAGACTGTGAGCTGCAACATCTGCAATACTTATTATCTGGACCTTGTTAGAAAAGGTGTGCTGAGTGGACCCATGTGAAACCTCTCTCCATGGCACCATTATCCTGAGCTGATGCCACACCCTCTCTCCACACCACAGCCCCGTCACCCTGAGCACATGCCATCCCCTCTCTCCAGAGCCCCGTCACCCTGAGCACATGCCGTCCCCTCTCTCCAGAGCCCCGTCACCCTGAGCACATGCCGTCCCCTCTCTCCAGAGCCCCGTCACCCTGAGCACATGCCATCCCCTCTCTCCAGAGCCCCGTCACCCTGAGCTGTTCCCTTCCCCTCTCTCCACAGCCCCATCACCCTGAGCACATGCCATCCCCTCTCTCCACAGCCCCGTCACCCTGAGCTGATGCCATCCCCTCTCTCCACAGCCCCATCACCCTGAGCTGATGCTATCTCCTCTCTCCACAGCCCCGTCACCCTGAGCACATGCTATCCCCTCTCTCCAGAGCCCCGTCACCCTGAGCTGATGCCACACCCTCTCTCCACAACACAGCCCAACCCTTATTTGAATCTGATCCTCTGACCTCTTGTAAAATTCAAGCACCGGCACCCCACAAACATGGCCCCATGGACCACGTCACCTCAGTTAGACTCAGTTTCCTCAGACTCTAGGCTGAACCCTATGAAATTGCTGGTTTTGTTATAAAAAAAAATAATAATGTCAGCAATTTCATGTAGCTCAACCCAATAGTGTGTGTGTGTGTGTGTGTGTGTGTGTGTGTATCCTTGAAGCCAATTTCGGGTTAATGTTTAATTCTAAGATGTCAGAGTAGGCTAAACTTCAAAAAAACTGCTTCCTGTGTGGGGTGCACAGGCCTGTGGGGACTTAGCCCAGCGGCCCACTCCAGGGGTTCCTCAGGATTGATGGACACAGTCTCCTCTCTACACCGTTTGGCTCAGTATCCATCAGTTCTGAACAATTTCCTGATGAATCACTTGTAAATCCCAAACTCAGGACCCAGAGGGATTCAGAACATGAAATATGCTCCCATTTATTCCCAAACTGGTTTTATACGATGCTCACCTCCAAGGTCAGGACCCAAGTAGTCCTGGCTAGTGAGGGGTGTCTAGTCAATTTAATCCTCAGGAAATCCCCACTGTCCCTGCTCCCCAAAAGTGGCTCCAGACTTCACAGATCAACCCACAGCGTTTTAGAGGATGCAAGCTGACCCTCAGCCTTACCTCTCTCTGGGAAATGGCTTGGGCTCAGGGCGGGCGGCAGCCATGGAGAAAGGGGCTTTCCTGGAAGGGGATGAGGAGAAGTTCAGGTCCAAGGAGCCCGTCTTTCTATGCAGTGGCTCCATTCCCATCGCCCCCTGAATCTTGCTCTCTATGGGGCAGGACCCTGCCCGGCCATGGAGGGACAGTGAGGATACTTCGAGCCCCACTGCACCCTGGAGCGAGGCGTCCACTGCCACATGGGGGTCATGGGTGGGAGAGATGGACGGTGGGGAGCGATTCTTCTTCTTGGTGGATGCCCCGGCTAGAAGTTTCAGCAGCCCACTCTTCTTCTCTTTCTGGAAAGACACACAAT